ATTTATACTTGGGGTACACAAGAAAACAACAAATGCTGCAGTGTTATCTGAACTTGGAAGATTTCCAATATATTTTAATATTATAAAAGGAATGTTATTGTACTGGTATAGATTAGAGAATTTAGGTAATAATTTTCCTCTATTAAAAGAGGCATATACACAATCAAAGACACTACATCACATGAATATAACATCATGGTATGGTTCAATAAATGTTGTTTTTAAAATACTTGGTATTGACTATACAAATGCCATAAATGCTCCATTTTGTGAATCCTTATACAAATTTAAGAAATATATACAAACCAAGCTATCAATATTGTTTATTAGCTGTTGGAAAAAACAAATAGATAAATTTTCAGACAGTAAACTGAAAACCTACCTTTTATATAAAACAAATTTTGGTTTTGAAAAATATCTAACATTGATCAAGAATTTTGAACTTAGAAGAAGTTTTACTAAATTCCGTGTATCTTCTCATAGATTACAAATAGAATTAGGTAGATATCAGGGTATTCCCCGAATTAACAGAATATGTAATAAATGTTCTTCCAATACTGTCGAAGATGAGGCTCATTTTCTATTTGATTGTAACAAATTTGAGGATGATAGAAATTGTATGTTAGCTAGTATTGCAAAATATAATTCTTATTTTAATCATATGAGCAGTCAAAGCAAAATTATCTGGTTATTTAGTGTAGAAAATGTTGAGTTACTTAAAATAATATGTAATTTTATATACAAACATCTTCCTTAGTGAAGATTAGTTAAAGGAAATCTATGTGTGTATATACATTTGATTGGACATAGAAAATTATATTCATCTGAATATCACAAACATACTAGCCGATTAAGAAAAAAATAATAATTGTTAAGATATATTATTTATTCAAATGTTCTCTTATATCCTTGAGGCATCGTCCCCTGGTATCAACTGCATTCAAGTTACCTATGATGCTTCCTTGTTTGCTTTTGATACAGGTAGGAAAGAGACATTTACACACATTTTACATGCCTATGGCCCATAAGGTATCGCCCCTTGGTGTCAGCTGCCTTTAGGAAACCATAATGCTTTCCTATTTGCTGCTGACACAGGATGAGTCATGGACATGCTTAATTTCTACTTTCTTTTTGGCTAATTATTATATATTTAATTGATCCAACTTTTTGTGTACTATACATATGTGGATATCTATTTTTCTTTTTTTTTCTTTTTTGGCTGCTTGTTTGTTATCTATATCAACCACACTTGCAATAAAATGCATTAGTATTAAAAAAAAAACATACTATAGATTCTTTATCTATGTATTCTTTAAGAACTTAAATAGTTCTCGTTTAACTTTTTTTTTTTTTATCTCATTGTTTGTATTGTATTATGAAAAATTATTGATGTTGTAATGTTTATGCCCTTTGGGGCCCATAATTGGAAATAAAATATCTTATCTTATCTTATCTTATTCTATTTCATTCATTCATCCACTGACTGTGCTTAGAAGCAACCAGCCAGCAGATTTTCCACTTTTCTCACTAATACGTTTACGAGGGGCACAATGGGGGTCTGTAATTTCTTTTTTCTTCAAATATTGAGGGAATTTTCTTCATAATTCAATTTATGATGAGATCAAACCCAAAATCTAAATACACCGTTAGATCCAGCATATCAAAGAAATCCCATATATTCAATTTTTGTTGAAATCAAACAAACTTAAATTTTGGACTCTTGATTTGAACAACTTGAAAACTGGGTCCAAATATCTGAATACATGTTTAGATTCAGCATATAAAAGAACCCTTGGAATTAAAATCAAAATCGACTTTAATGTGGACCAATTTGAAACCACAGCCAAAAATCAAAAAGGTTAGATTTAGCACATCGAAGAACCCGCAAAGAATTCAATAGTTCCTGCAATCAAACAAAGTTTGATTTTGGACCCTTCTTGGGCCAATTCAATAACAGGGCAAAAAATTCAAAATCTTAATACCCGCTTTGATTTAGCACTTTAACAATCTCATTGAAATTGTCAAGAAAAAAGAAATTTATACAAAGTATTTACATGTATTGTTTTGGGACCCTTTTTCCTCAACTGTTAGGACCAAAACCCCTAAACTCAATCCCAACCTTTTTTGGTACAGACCTGTGTGGTACAATTTCATAGAGATCCATAGACTTGTACTCAAGTAATTGTGCGGAAACCAAAAAATCCTTGTTTTTGGCACCCCAAGTTCTTAACGGTTTGGGCCATAATCCCTAACCTTCCTTTAAAGGCAAGGAACCTTGTGGTACTATTTCATAGAGATCCATACACTTGTATGCAAGTTACTTTCCTGAAACAAGAAAAATGCTTGATTTTGGCCCTCAATTTTTGCTCAGTTGGGATTGATTTTGCAGATTATTGTCCTTATCTTCCTTCTGTGGTACAATTTCATATACATCCATACACCCATACTAAAGTTATCACTTGGAAACCAAATGTCTTCAGACAACACTGTCGTTACCATTTTGTTTTAACTTTTTTAACATGAATGATAATAGTAAAGCAAATCTTCGTCTGAAACATGACCACCAAACAGCATTTCAAAATTGATGCATCTAATATCTTATTTAAACTTTACTGTGCTACATATTGAAGACCCAGAGATGAGGGTAAATTAAAGTGTTGTTTCTCTCTGGAAATTATGTCAAATCACAGTGTATTCAATAGTGGTCGCATTAAATTCACAGACAATCTTACAATGAATCTAGACATTGTAAACTCCCCTTGTTTTATTAATTTTGTATTTTACAGTCATAGATCAAATTTATTTGTTCAGTGTATGTTCACTTGTTTATGTTAATGTCTTTTGATTGAGTTAAGCCATTTCAATTGATATTTTATAGTTGTGATGTTTCACTATTGTTTCAGGTAGGGTGAAGGTTGGCGCCTATTAAAACGTTTAAACCCGTTGCATTAGTTTGCACCTGTCCCAAGTCCGGAACCCGATGTTCAGTGGTTGTCGTTTGCTGATGTGATTCATAAATGTTTCTCGTTTTTTATATAGATTAGACAGCTGGTTTTCCTGTTTGAATGGTTTTACACTAGTCTTTTTTGGAGCCCTTTATAGCTTGCTGTATGGTGCGAGTCAAGGCTCTGTGTTGAAGGCCGTACTTTGACCTATAATGGTTTACTTTTACAAATTGTGACTTGGATGGAGAGTTGCCTCATTGGCACTCATACCAATCTTCTTATATCTATATCATCCAATATAATTCAACTCGTAGTATAAACCTTCGAAACTCACCTTTACCGTGACCATGAAATGTGGTCGATCAGGGGAACCATATACAACAATATATACCAATAAATGTGGATAGTGTCCACATGTGGACACAGATGATGCCCCCGCTTGCATATCATATAGTTATAAAGGGACATAACTGAAGAACGGTAAAAGTGACACTACCCAAATTTGAACTTGATCTGAGTTTTGTGGTAATAAGCATTGTGTGTAAGTCTCATAACATTTGGTTGAGGCTAACTTAAGTAGAGAACAGAAACTAAAAATTCAGCAATTTTTCTATTTGTAATGATGCATAACTCTAGAACGGTTGTGTATAAGTTTTACAACATTTGGATGAGACAAACTAAAAAATTCAGCAATTTTTATGTTTATAATGGGACATAACTCTAGAATGGTAAAAGTGTTGCCACCTAATTTCGTACTTAATCTGTATTATGTAGTAATTAGCATTGTGTATAAGTTTCATAACATTTGGTTGAGGCAAACTCAAGTTAGAGAACTGAAACAAAAAAAATGTACTTGATCTTTACTGAGTTTTGTTGGAATGAATATTGTGTATAGGTTTCACAATGTTTGGCTGGGGAAAACTTCAGTTACAGAATGGAAACTAAAAAATTTTGCAATCTTTCTATTTATAAAGGGGCATAACTCAATAATGGTTAAAGTGACACTACCCAAATTCAACTTGATCTGTGTTTTATCAGTGGTAGTCAAAATTAAACATTGCATTGTATAAAGCATTGATTGTAGTTGATTCAACTATAATCATGGTCAAAGGAAGATAACTCCAATTTTAAAAATATATTATATAAACTTGATATTTAGAAGAAAATAAAAATTTTGCAATTTTTCCTTTTATAAAGGGGCATAACTCTAGATCGGTTAAAGTGACACCACCAAAATTCAAACTTGATCTGTGTTTTGTGGTAATAAGCATTGTGTATAAGTTTCATAACATTTGGTTGAGGCAAACTTAAGTTAGAGAACGGAAACTAAAAATTATGCAATATTTCCTTTTATAAAGGGGCATAACTCTAGATCGGTTAAAGTGACGCCACCAAAGTTCAAACTTGATCTGTGTTTTGTGGTAATAAGCATTGTGTATAAGTTTCATTACATTTGGTTGAGGCAAACTCAAGTTAGAGAATGGAAACCAATTTCGGGACGTACGTACGTACAGACGGACAAGGGTAAAACTTAATGCCCCCTCCGGTACGGCGGGGGCATAATAAAACAGCTATAGTCATCTGGCAATTTAAGGAAAAATAAAATATAGGTCCATATTGAATCTGATATTTCTAATATTGAGTGTCCAACTGCCAGATTATCTCTATCTATTATGGTTTACACTATATTCAGGCCATTACTTAGGAAGTGGTACCCAGTAATTTTACCCTTCTATACTACTGAGAAGTAAAACCAGAATTTAGGAATATTTATATAAGGTATTCATGGAATATATTGAAAAGTACCAGTCAACATGAAAGATAATGAAACCCCTGTATATCAGATGATAATTTGCTTTTTTTTTATGTTCCATTGTGGCCATGTTGGTTGATTGGCAGGAGCAAAAAACTCTTTAAAACTACTAGATTCCCCACAGATGATTCATCTTGTAAATTGGTCGGGTGGGGTGCAGGTGTTCAAGATTTTTGAAAGAGTTGACAACAACCGATGCTAAGATGTGGCACTCAAACAACCCATCAGACTAATAAGAAAAATTTTGTTTTTTTTCTTTAATATTTTCAAAACTTCAACTGAACAATTCAATCCATGCAATTTCATGTCTTTGGATAAATTGGATCATTACTAAGTCTAAGATATTACAAAATATGTTCTCATTGTGAGAGCCACCAAAGCTTCAACAGTGGTTACCATTCAGATGCCTAGCCTGGTCGCCATGGAGACTTCCACGCAGTAGACACCAATTCTTCTTCCTCTTCCTCCTCCTTTTTCTTTAAAAAATAGTCCCCAAAGTTGAACCCCTGATGACAAAATGTTGTTGTTGCTTTGTGTTGCTGTTGATGTATGTCCGTGTTGGTTCTCCTTGACAACATATATTGTTGTTGAAACAGCCATGTTTTCAGTCAAAAACATGGTACCTGATCAAACTAAGACTCTGATCACGTGACCATGTTAATTCATCATCATCGTTTTCTTCATCATCATCATCATCTGTAAGAGTTTAGGAATAAACACATGGCTGCAACACCTTTGTCTACAGCTGAACACATCAATTGGAGTTTTGAAAATAAACGATGACAACGTCTACTTTGACCTGAAAGTAATACAAATACATTTAGAATAACACTCATACAATGATAAACCTGAAACTGGGAAAAATCTAATGCGGTAGATTTTGGGAAGAAAATTGTCTTGTTTTTAATGGAAGAGCCCTCAGGACAATAACCACCTCTAAAATCAATTCCAAAGAGATCCATACAATAATACTCCCAAGTTATTGACTGGAAACCAAATGCCTTTGAACAATACCAACATACCATTATACAACCACAAAAATAATAAATTACCATTAAAGTCTAATGTTTTCCAGTTTAAACCAGACAAGATTTTTTTATTTCAAAAATTTGCCCCAATGTTTTTATCAGCATGTTAACATGCTAGCCGACTGAGCAAAGTTTATCAGCCAAGACGAGACAAAAATGTTTAGGCAATCTTTTTCTTTGTTGTATTTTCTATTATCTTACTATTGCAATTTCCCTGATCAACTTTAAAAGGTAGCTAGGGTCAACAGGCCTCTACAATAAATTTTTTTCAAACTTAAGTACAAACCAAAACTTTCTTGTCCGAATGAAATTGTAACTTGTCCAAAAAAAATCTTAATAATAACCTTTTTTGCGTTTTAAGTTGATTCAAGGAACAAAATGAATTATAACAATAGAACAGAATTTGATTTATATCTTTTGAAATACTTTTCAAAAATATGAGTTGAGAACAACTGAATCTAGTCATGTCACAGGACTTAGATTCTAGCTTTCTTCAATGCCAAAGTCTCATCAGACTCTGCACATGAGGCACCATCTGATAGGCCTGTCAATGTACACCCATTGGATTTGTATCTTGGTTTTTAAGTTGAAAAAAGTGTTTTCAAATGCAATCAATAAAAAAAGAAGATGAGGTACATGTATGATTGCCAATGAGACAACTCTCTGCAAGAGACCAAATGACACAAAAATTAACTACTATATGTCACCGTATTGCAAGTATTGCTTTTTTTTCTACATATGATCAAATACGATTTTGTGAATTTTATGGTACATAATTTCTTCATTTTTATTTAAAAAATATTATTTGTTAAAAAATTACCGGTATGGTATTTATTATAAAGCAACAGAATAAGGTCGGAAAACGGGAAAACGAGGTACTGATTTGTCTTGGTCCCGAAATGTCTCCTGCATTGCCACACTGTCTATTAATCATGTCTATTAAATATGTCTCCTACAGTGCCATACTGTCTATTAAATTTGGAGCAGATTTCCGAGCTGGTGACGAACTGTCTTGAAAAGTTACCTTGTTTACAAAGCGCATCGCTGATCCGGATCAGTAAGACTGGTTTCGGAGAAAAGTATGCCTTAAACCTCTTAAAAAGTACCTGACAAAGAACAGTTTTAAAGTATCGATTGCAAGTAAACATGTCAAATTAATACTTGTTTTTATCTTCTTTTCTTGTTTTTTGTTTATAATTGTGGTTATAATTACTTTATTCATCAAAGTTGGATTAAATTTATTTTCTGCAGAATAATTTTACTTGTCCCGTCGGACAAGCTTGATATAGCTTTTACTTGTCAGACCTTTTTTCCTCTGGTACCGGACAATCGGACAAGCGTTATTGTCGAGGCCTGGTCAAGTGCATGTCTTATCTTTGCTCTGTTTCTTTGACCCATCTGTATTTAAATCAATGTTGAAAAGTATATTGTATACACTCTATAAACTAGTCTCCTTATAGTCTAAGGTCAAATGTTGACCTCTGGATGTCTTTATGCTTGTTTCAGGACGAGAAATCGTATATTATAATAGACTTGGGAGATAATTATAAGATATACAAATGTATAAGTTATTATAAATATAAATACCTTGCCCTCATCTTCCTCCTTTTACGCTTCAACCTCCTCATACGCTTCTTGCGCCACTGAAATCAGAAAATCTAATGTTCAACTTCATGCAAGTATTTTAAAACTGTTTAAACAAATATTTGCATGGATGAGCTTAAAAGATTTAGTCGATTAAGAACCCGATCCTGGACTTTACTAGGGAGTCGATTGAGGGAACCTACAATTTTTATATAATAGGTAGAGAACCTGCTATCCTTCATATAGGACAATTTAAGGGCATTTTATTTGAACTGAAATTCACAAGGCTTTGGACCTTTCATCCTAATTCATATCTGTACACCTGTTGAACTTGAAGTGCACTATGCAACCACAAATTTTACATATATATTTGTACAATAACAGGTTATGTTTATGAAGATCAACTTCTTTCATTACTGTTTTTTACACAATTATATCAAATAATAGCTTACTTATGTGTTTAATTTTCAGTTCTTGATGCATAAATCCCATTATATTTGTAGTTCATGGAGCAAAAGCCTAATGTCGTCTGAAGATTACATGCATTAATAAATCTTTTATTCCTTTCTTTAGACTTGTCTTGTTTTAAAGAGTGCAATGGCAGCAAGAGGATCATATTTGAGGGATTTTTGAAATGTTTTTAAGACATTGCACGTGTTGATAGAAACTTCCCTTGCATCTGGACATCTATACATGATTTTCCAACTAGTGCCGATAACCTTGTGTTCATTACATAGAAATATAACCGATGACAACATGAGATGTGGTGTCACTCTCCCCATTCTGTGTGAATGTTTTCTAATGTGCATGGTCCGCATGGTACACGTTATGCGTTTATATGTCCCCAAATCAAATGCAATCAGTGTAGGTCATAACATGTGGTGTAATTTAACATATGTTCTTTAACTTAAAGAATAACTAAAAGTCACTAAGCGCCAAGAAGTTAACTGTCACCCCTTTCCATACCAAATGCATAATTAATGGACACAAATGCGTGTTATGTTCATAAATACTAAGATAGACATTTAGGTTACGTGCATACCTTTGCTCTCATCTTGCTTTATTATCTGAAATAAATGAAAATACAAATGTAGAATAACAAATTAACAAAAGATGGCAAGATAATTTAGTGATTGAGATGGATTTGTTTTCGAAATAAATTTCATGCGACTTACCAGCAACACGAAAACGGAAGAAAGGACATAGCCTATGTTCAAAACATACTATCTAAAATTGGGAATAATCTATAGAAAATCATATGAAATACAGTCAACGATAATAGATAAATAAATTTATTAAATATTTTATGTACCTGATGTTTTTTTTTTTTATTTCATCAATTTAGATATTATTAAAAAAAAAAGTTTAAAGACTAGTTACTGGTACCTACGGGTTCCTTCATAGAGTGAAAATACGCATGGTTAACAGATGGACCGGCCAGACGAAAACAATTTTTTAAAATGAATAGTTTACAGTCACAGTCTTCTCCCAAATCGGACGTTTCAGACAAACAGACACTGTTAGCTGTCTTACAATTTCTGAAGAAGAACAACTTAAAGGTCAATTAATCTGAATCTTGGCCGGTGTCGTGTATATTTAATTATGCAAACCAGGGACTATATAGATTTTATTTTACTGTAGTGACAGTAGTGTTGCTAAAACTTGTTCCCAAACCCATAAAGACCTACCCTAACTAACCCTTAATAATAATACTCCTTAATGCTATCTCAAACCAAAAATTTAACCATATCCTAAAACAAACCACAAGAGCAAACTGAACCCTAAGCCTAAATTTTAAAAGGTTTGGAAAGATCCTCACCTATTTTCAAGGCAGTGTCTGCACGTACCCGCATGTGGGTACGAATAGCCAAATTGCCGTTCGTAGGCTACGCGTACCCGCATCTGGTTTTATAATAAAATGGTATCGGATTGGGAATGAAACGTGAAATATATACGGAAATTATCGCAATTAGTGAATTAATTGATTAAAACTACTTAGAATAGAAGTTTCATAAATATTAATATATAGATAAGTGAACAGTTTTTCTCAGTTAATAAATATTCTTAAAATGGAAGAGAGTGATATACATGTGGGGAAGACATTTCAAAGTTATCATGAATAGGAACAATTTGATCAAAACTATCAGTCGATTAATTTTATACAATTGTATAAAAGAAACTCGGAGTCAATTGCAGCTGCAGAGAAAAGAAGAACTGGAAACACAAAAATAAAAGAGGAATTAAAGTTTAACAGAATAAATTTTTCCTATATTCACGGAGGCAAAAAATTCTAAACAAGTTCGACAGGAAAAAGGCTGAATACATTATTTCTGATAAAACAAAGGCCGATGCCAATAATCTTCTAGAAGCTTCGTTAATAAATAAAAAATATTTGACGAAAATGTAAACCTTCAGCGCATCAAAAAATATTTTACCTCTGAAGCGTGGAAGCAACTTAAAATTCGGATCAACTAAAGAAGAGAATCATGTGAATCGACATGTATCAAATGTCAAAAAAACCTACACGATCAGGACTCTTTGGCCTGTGATTGTTGTTTGGACTGTCAACATTTGAAATATGTGCCAAAACAGAGACATATAATACAATGTATTATATGTCTCTGGCCAAAACAATCCTATTGGATATTAAAATTTGTTCCAAATCTTAATTTACTTACATGAATCTTTTAAAATTGGTTTAATTTGACGCCTTTATAACTTGCTTCTTTAATTTTTATATAGACACCCAAGCTTTAATTTTAGTCGTTTAAGATATTTTAAAATTTCAGTTTCTGTTTTACATTTTACTCAAAGATTAATTTTAAATCTCATATAGGTATTTTTCAAATTCAGTAAAATTTAAGTCTTTAAATTTGAATTTACATTTAATAATAGTATTAAATTTTTTTTCATGTTTACAGGTAGTCCTATAATATATGCCTTCGCATTATATATTCACTATTTAAAGTTTTCATGCTGATATTTTCATTTTTTTTAATGGGTGGCACATTGATAATAATAATAAAAAAGAAAAAATAGCAAAATAAGTAAAAAGAAAACAGAAATAGAAAATTGAACTCGGGGGCATTATTTTCATTTTCAATCAGTGTGCATTTAATTTGCAATGTTTATTATGTATTATTAACTAATAAATACAATTTGAAAACATTATTTTTCATACTCTTCGCTCGTTCTACACGATATCCCCATATTATCGATAATTTCTGTATATATTTCACGTTTCATTCTCGATTCGATGGCATTTTATTATAAAACCGTATGTGGGTACGCGTAGCCTACGAATGGCAATTTGACTATTCGTACCCGCATGCGGGTTCGCGCAGACACTGCCTATTTTCAAAGGCTGACAAAGCTTTCATGTTACATTGCTGTCTGTTACTTTATTTTGAAACAATAAAAAAACAAATTTATAGCAATACGCTAACTAAAACATGATTAAAAAAAAATTGCAACACAAAACAAATAAAAATGGTAGGAACTTGTGGGGTGTGAAATGCCGAAAGTGAAAGGGGGCGAACGCAAACGTTACTTTTTGCGAAGGGATCCTAATTCATTTGAAGTATAGAATCATCAAGATTGCAAATTCAGCAACATTTAAAGGATACTTTTATGTGAAGAATAACATATAATCTTTTATAATCAGTAAATTGCACAAACTTTCTTTAAATATTTTGGCTTGGTTGACACAATAGACAGTCCTAGTGGACTTTATAGACGGTCAGAGTTGATTTATTAGTCTGTCCAAGTTATTTTTGGGCCCAATTGTCCCATATTGCCCAGTATAACCAATTTTGAGAGTATTGCAAAGATGACATGTATTCAACCAAGACAGGCAAGACTGCAGTCTCTTTCATTGGTAACTGTGGGAAAGACAGAAAAATTTTAAGATTTTGGATGCACTCTTACATGTATATGTATAGATTTCCTACTTTTCATTTTCTACTTACTGTAGTGAAGACTTTATCCTCTGATAATATATATAGTTATGATAGTCATGATAATTGTGTTACCTATTTTTCAATCAATAATTCTTTGCTTATCGTTTTAAGACTATCTTTATTTAGTAATAGAAGGAAATTATACGTTTTGCAGAAAGACTTGACTGTATGTATTCAACTTTAGGTAGATTTCTTAAAATTTCAAATTTTTTTAATTATGGGCATACATTCTACATGTGAAACTTCCGTCCAAAGGTCAATATGTTTTTACAGGTCTCCTAATGTTCCCCCATTGAAAAAATCAATATCCTGTGTATAATAATAATTTCATTTATGAAAATTTTAGAGGCCATTATTATTACATTTGTTTACAAACATTTACTATTGTAAGTGGTAAAAACCTTATATAAAAATAAGGAGATGTGGAACTGAGTTGTGCAAAGTTGTTCACTTTTATTATTGCAGTGTACAGAAGAATTGTTGAAGAAAGAGGCTGGGGTAACAGATGATGATGTTAAACCACAAAGTGTTGGACAAAGTGAAAGTGATGTAGCCAATGCATTGGCTGCTTATAAAAGGTAGGGCAAACTACAAAACCTGGCAAGTGAAAATTATGTTGCCAATGCATAAGTTGCTTATGAAAATCTCACAAAGTGAAAGGGATGTCACAATATTGGCAAAGGTTTTGATGTGAATAAAATATCTTTTGTGTATTAGGCTGTTGTTCATTATTTTTTTTTAAAAGCTATAAAATGGTCTTATTTTTCAAATCTATACATGTCTATAGGTCAACTTTGACCTGTTAATGATCCCACAGTTACCTAGCAAATTACAATTCTGTACTTAAATGACAACACTACATGACATCATATTCAAAGTATTAAAGCTTTTACTATTTTTGCTGTTTTAGGGCGATATGATGGCTCATATCATACCTTCTCAATTTGTTTTTACTATTTTTGCTGTTTGAGGACTCATATCATGCCTTCTAAATTTGTATCTTGAAACATTCAATGCAAATAAAAAAATAATTTTAAAGGTTTTTTTTTTATCTTTTTGTCAATAAGAGGCATATATAATAACTATTAAGTTGATTTTATAATGTCAGAAATTATTCACAAAGGGAAGGCTGTAATTGATTTTGGGGGTAATTGCCTCAAAATTTTAGGAATTAGGGGCCAAAAAAGGGGCAAAAAACAAGCATTTTTCTAGTTTCATGACAATAACTTGTGTGTAAGTGTTTGGATATTTCTGAAATTGTACTACAAGGTTCCATATCACAAAGGGAAAGCTGGAATTGAGTTTGGGGGTAATTGCCTCAAAATTTTAGGAATTGGGGGCCAAAAAGGGGCCAAAAATAAGCATTTTTCTAGTTTCCAGACAATAACTTGTGTTCAAGTGTATGGATCTCTCTGAAATTGTACTGCAAGGTACCATACCACAAAGGGAAGGCTGGGATTGAGTTTGGGGGTGATGAATCATAAGGGGGTTCAAAAAATTGGGGGGGGGGATTTTTTTTTTTTTTTTTTTTCTTTTTTTCCTTTTTTTTTTCTTTTAAAATTTTCCATTTTAAGTTGGTTATTTCTGATTTATATTTAAAAGCAAATGATAATGATATGGTAGGAGATACACACCAAACAGGATGTGTAAATTATTATATAATAAGTATTGTGCAATAGCAAGAAATTTTCAATTGCACAGTATTGCACAATAGCAAGAAATCTTCAATTGCACAGTATTGCGCAATAGCAAGAAATCTTCAATTTAACAGTATTGCGCAATAGCAAGAAATATCCAATAGCACAATATTGCGCAATAGCAAGAAATTGTCAATTGTACAGTATTGCGCAATAGCAAGAAATATTCAATTGCACAGTATTGTGCAAAAGAAGATACTTCGTATAAATTGCTTATTTCTTGATCAATTTCAATGGGGTTTTATTCTTGAATTCTTGGGGTTCTTTAATATGCTGAATCTAACCGTGTATTAAGTTTTTGGATTTTGGGCCCCGTTTTTAAATTGGTCCACATTGAGGTCCAAAGGGTCCAAAATTAAACTTTGTTTGATTTCATCAAAAATTAAATTATTGGGGTTCTTTGATATGCCGAATCTAACCGTGTATTTAGATTTTTAATTTTGGGTCCCGTTTTTTAAATTTGTCTACATTAAGGTCCAAAGGGTCCAAAATTAAACTTAGTTTGATTTTAACAAAAATTGAATTCTTAGGGTTCTTTGATATGCTGAATCTAAACATGTGTTTAGATTTTTGATTATGGGCCCAGTTTTCAAGTTGGTCCAAGTTGGGGTCCAAAATTAAACTTTGTTTGATTTCAACAAAAATTGAATATATGGGGTTCTTTGATATGCTGAATCTAAACATGTATTTAGATTTTAGATTTTTGGCCCAGTTTTCAAGTTGGTCCAAATTGGGGTCCAAAATTAAACTTTGTTTGATTTCAACAAAAATTGAATATATGGGGTTCTTTGATATGCTGAATCTTACCATGTATTTAGATTTTTTATTTGTGGGCCCGCTATCAAATTGGTTCATATTGAGGTCAAAAGGGTCCAAAATTAAACTTTGTTTGATTTCATCAAAAATTGAATTATTGGGGTTCTTTGATATGCCAAATCTAACTGTGTTTTTAGATTTTTAATTTAGGTACCCGTTTTTTAAATTTGTCTACATTAAGGTCCAAAGGGTCCAAAATTAAACTTAGTTTGATTTTAACAAAAATTGAATTCTTCGGGTACTTTGATATGCTGAATCTAAACATGTGTTTAGATTTTTGATTATGGGACCAGTTTTCAAGTTTGTCCAAGTTGGGGTCCAAAATTAAACTTTGTTTGATTTCAACAAAAATTGAATATATGGGGTTCTTTGATATGCTGAATCTAACCATGTATTTTGATTTTGGACATTGGACCATAATAGGTAAATTAAAAAAATTGAAGTTCTTAGACCACATTCTTTCTGTGTCAGAAACCTATGCTGTGTCAAATATTTAATCACAATCCAAATTCAGAGCTGTATCAAGCTTGAATGTTGTGTCCATACTTGCCCCAACTGTTCAGGGTTCGACCTCTGCGGTCGTATCAAGCTGCGCCCAGCGAAGCATTTTATTTATAGTGTATGACCATTGTACTTGAAAATCTTATTTCGCACAGGAAAATAGGGAAACTGTACCAGTTAGCACAAAATATTAAAAAACGAAATTTTCAAATGTTTTGAATTTTTAATTTCCTTGTTCTTACTACATGTACTATTTGACCATATAATTTACACAAATAGTATTTTCTTGTTTTAGAAGTGTAGCAAGTGTTTAATAAGGCTACCATTGTTGGATGCATAAGTCGGTGTGTCTAAGGTCCAGGGTAAAAACTGACTCCCCCCTATTTCTACCATTTTTATACGACCGCAAAAAAATTTTTGTGGTCGTATATTGGTATGACGTTGGCGTCGTCGTCATAGTCGTCTGGCGTCGTCCGAAGACACATTGGTTTTCGCACTCTAACTTTAGTTTAAGTTAATGGATCTCTATGAAATTTTACCACAAGGTTCAATACCACAAAAGAAAGGTTGGGATTGATTTTGGGGGTTATGGTACCAACAGTAAAGGAAATGGGGGCCAAAAAGGGGCCAAAAATAAGCATTTTTGTAACTTTCAGACATAACTTGTGTGTTAGTGTATGGATCTCTCTGACATTGTACCACAAGGTTCCATATCACAAAAGGAATGCTTGGATTGATTTTGGGGGTAATTGCCTCAAAATTTTAGGAATTAGGGGCCAAAAAAGGGGCAAAAAACAAGCATTTTTCTAGTTTCATGACAATAACTTGTGTGTAAGTGTATGGATCTTTCTGAAATTGTACTACAAGGTTCCATATTACAAAGGGAAAGCTGTAATTGAGTTTGGGGGTAATTGCCGAAACGTTTAGGAATTGGGGGCCAAAAAGGGGCCAAAAATAAGCATTTTTCTAGTTTCAGGACAATAACTTGTGTTCAAGTGTATGGATCTCTCTGAAATTGTACTGTAAGGTACCATACCACAAAGGAAAAGCTGGGATTGATGATGGGGATAATTGCCTCAATATTTTAGGAATTAGGGGCCAGAAAGGGGCAAAAAACAAGCATTTTTCTAGTTTCAGGTCAATAACTTGTGTGTAAGTGTATGGATCTTTCTGAAATTGTACTACAAGGTTCCATATCACAAAGGGAAAGCTGGGTTTGAGTTTGGGGGTAATTGCCCTAAACGTTTAGGAATTTGGGGCCAAAAAGGGACCAAAAAACACATTTTTCTAGTTTCCAGACAATAACTTGTGTTCAAGTTTATGGATCTCTCTGAAATTGTACTGCAAGGTACATTACCTCAAAGGGAAGGCTGGAATTGAGTTTGGGGGTGATGAATCATAAGGGGGTTCAAAAAATTGGGGGGGGGGATTTTTTTTTTTTTTCTTTTTTTCCTTTTTTTTTTCTTTTAAAATTTTCCATTTTAAGTTGGTTATTTCTGATTTATATTTAAAAGCAAATAATAATGATATGGTAGGAGATACACACCAAACAGGATGTGTAAATTATTATATAATAAGTATTGTGCACAGTATTGCACAATAGCAAGAAATCTTCAATTGCACAGTATTGCGCAATAGCAAGAAATCTTCAATTGCACAGTATTGCGCAATAGCAAGAAATATCCAATAGCACAATATTGCGCAATAGCAAGAAATTGTCAATTGTACAGTATTGCGCAATAGCAAGAAATATTTAATTGCACAGTATTGTGCAAAAGAAGATACTTCGTATAAATTGCTTATTTCTTGACCAATTTCAATGGGGTTTTATTCTTGAATTCTTGGGGTTCTTTAATATGCTGAATCTAACCGTGCATTTAGTTTTTGGATTTTGGGCCCCGTTTTTAAATTGGTCCACATTGAGGTCAAAAGGGTCCAAAATTAAACTTTGTTTGATTTCATCAAAAATTGAATTATTGGGGTTCTTTGATATGCCGAATCTAACCGTGAATTTAAATTCTTAATTTTTGGTTCCGTTTCCAAATTGGTCTACATTAAGGTCCAAAGGGTCCAAAATTAAACTTAGTTTGATTTTAACAAAAATTGAATATATGGGGTTCTTTGATATGCTGAATCTAAACATGTATTTAGATTTTTGATTATGGGCCCAGTTTTCAAGTTGGTCCAAATCGGGGTCCAAAATTAAACTTTGTTTGATTTCAACAAAAATTGAATATATGGGGTTCTTTGATATGCTGAATCTAACCATGTACTTAGATTTTTAATTTGTGGGCCCCGTTATCAACTTTATCCACATTGAGGTCAAAAGGGTCAAAAATTAAACTTTGGTTGATTTCATCAAAAATTGATTTCTTGGGGTTCTTTGATATGCTGAATCTAACCATGTATTTAGATTTTGGATATTGGACCATAATAGGTGAATGTTCAATTTAAAATTTTTAAGTTCTTAGACCACATTCATTCTGTGTCAGAAACCTATGCTGTGTCAAATATTTAATCACAATCCAAATGCAAAGTTGTATCAAGCTTGAATGTTGTGTCCA